CTCGCTGGCATAGCAGTCATGTGAACTGGTGGGCTTAGGGCAGGAATGCAGAGAGGCAGAATGAAAGAGTAAAGGGAAAGTTAGTGGTTGGAAATAGCGGTCTTCCCTTGTCCTCTTGGTTCTGGGTTATGACTGTTGTCTTGGGTTTCTCTGTCCTAGTTTCCCCACCCCTTAGTAGCTGAGGAGTCTGTTAGATCACAGGCTGTATGTTTATTGGGAATTCTATGATGTTAAATAGTTTGCCTTGAATACCACCCGGGTGCAGCAAGCTATGTGTGCATACAAGTTAAATATCCTAATATGAAGAAAAACCTACTCCAGACAGCTTGATCCAGTGACAAGTCACCTTTCCATGAGTCTGCCTGGGAAGCCCTCCGTCAGGGTTTGTGGAGCTGTTAGGGAAGAAAAGTGGCAGAAGGCAAAAAGTATGCAGCTGCCAACTAATTTCATTTTATTCTTTTAGAAGAAGATTTAAAAAATGTTTTTATTGTATGTTTATGAATGTTTACTTAAATGTTAAGTGAATGCATGTGCAATGCCCACAGAAGCCAGAAGAGGGCATCAGATTCCCTGGAACTGGAGTTACGATGGTTGTGAGCCTCCATGTGGGTGCTGAGAACTAATCCTGGGTCCTCTGGAAGAGCAGCAAGTCCTCTTAACCACTGAGCCATCTCTCCAGTCCTTAATCTCATTTTACTTAAAATGAAGAACTCTTGTTTCTAGATTCAAAGTGATTTCTTGACATCCTTGTGACTGTAGCTATGCACCTTAGCAGGGGAAGACATATTGCTCCTCACCAGAACTAAACACAAAATAAGAAGAAGGTAGTACCTATCACCTAAGACCAAGCACTTGGGCTGAGTCAGATGAGAGACAGGAATTGGGTCAGAGGCTTCAGAACTGGATCCTTGTGGATCGAGCCGGTCACTCTGCCTTCTCAGTCTGGAAATGCTTTGTCTTTTAAAAATGAAAGACAAGTGGTAACCAAATGTGTAGCCAGCAGCAGCCAGCGCACCCAGCAAACCTTGCGCTCCCCACGGCCACTCGAACCATTGAACTCAGATTCACTAAGGCACGCAATGCACATAGCAGAATTTTTCTTCTTTACATCTCTATGAATTTTGGCAAGTAGAGTCATTTTTTAAAGATTTATTTTATTTTATATATGGGTGTTTCCCCTGCATATCTATCTGTATGTCATGTGTATGCATTGCCCTTGGAGGCCAGAACTGCCATGTGAGTGCCAGGAACCGAAACCCCAGTCCTCATCCAGATCATTCTATGCTCTGAACCACTGAGCTAACTCTCAACTATAGTTGCAGTCATTTACACCAGGTCCCCACACTCAAGAAATAATCCTTCTGTCAGTCCAATGCCTCTCTCCCTTAATACAGGAGGCCCTTCCTCTCCTCCCAACCCAGGCAACCATAGCTTATCTACAACTATAGTTTTGCCTTTTCAAGAACGGTATAGGAATCATGTCACTTAAGACTTTGGAGTTTGCCCTAATGGCTTTTCAAAGAGTAATTCATTAAATTTTACAACAATATTTTTTTAGATAAATACCAGTATTGCAGAATTGAAGGACATGGAAGTGCTAACACACACACACACAAAAAAAACCCAAGATGCAAACAAATACGATTTTGTATTACTTGAATTATTTTATGATAAGACACGTAAGAAATCTTCAGTGAAAACTGTGCATTGAATGTGGCTCACAGTCACCCTAGAATCAGTGTCAGAGCGCAGTGGTGATGGTCTGTGGTGCTCCTCTTCGACCCACGTGATAACCTGCCTCGTTCTGGCTGGAGATGGCTCTACTGTGGAAAGGCATCTGGAAAAAGTGTTAACAGAAAGGTTGAAGACATCCTCTCTTAAGCCAACAGCATTTAGCCTTGAAGTCACCACACGAAGACCAATCAGTCCGTAAATGTGAAGAAACGAACATGGATAGTCAAGGTTTTAAATATCAGCAGTTTCGGGATTGGTGTGCATGACAGGTTGGCCAGACACTTCTGCTTCACTCAGGATTAAAAAGAAGAGCTGGGGCCGGGCGGTGGTGGCGCACACCTTTAATCCCAGCACTCGGGAGGCAGAGGCAGGCGGATCTCTGTGAGTTCGAGACCAGCCTGGCCTACAGAGCTAGTTCCAGGATAGGCTCCAAAGCCACAGAGAAACCCTGTCTCGAAAAACCAAAAAAAAAAAAAAAAAAAAAAAAAGAAGAGCTGGGTTTCTCTCCAGGCACTATTCCCCATTCAACATCGGTCCCGTGGGAATCCCAGGTCATGCTTTACAACACAACCCTCATCCTCCTGGATGTGGTCACAGCCCACAGTACAACTACAAGGGTTCCTCCCAGGCTCTTCTTCAGGGGAAGACCTTGTCACTGCATTGCTGTGTTTAACCTTCTGCTATAATGCCATCCACTGGGAGCAAAGGAGGGCCGGCTGTTGCTGAAAGTTTACGGCTTTCATGAATTTTTAAGGAACACATGGGGGAGATTGCTGAAGCCAAGCCATCGTGCACGGGTGTGATACGGAGGTCCAGGAGTCCCTTCAATATTTAATGCAGCCAAAAGCCTCTGGCAACCAGTCATCTCTTAATGGGGCTCGCCCTCTGGCCAGCTTGTTTCTGAGGGAGTCAGATTTCTGGCTTCCAAACAAGTTATCGCTCACTTGCTGAGTAAATACCACAAGCTGAAAGTGGCCCCCTAGGCATCATTGGTCTTTGCTGGTCAAGCTGAGAAGGTCCCAGGTCAACATAGCTTGTCTTCAAACACCCGTGGTTTCCCAAGTGAGCTAGATATTGGTCTGTTCTCAACCTTCCTATGAGACTCCACTAAACACAGAATGGAGTGTATCGGGAACCGAATGGCTGTGTAAGGAAACAAGAGGTGAGTAGGGGGACCCCAGGTGCAGTACTGCTGGCGGAACTGACTTCACACCAGAGAGACGTTAGGGGAGATAAGGGGCATCGGGATTAGTCCTGGACCGACTGCTAGGGCATTGCTGAGAACAGTGGCTGCAGAGGAGAGGGAAGTGAACGTGGACAGAGAGGGTGAGCTGCACTTTGTGAGAAGCCTACAGGAGGGAAGGAATGGCTAATGGCATCACTTCCGTCTTCCATCACTGGTGTCTCTGGGAAATGGACTCCGCATCCCTCGCTCACTGCTACCACAAATAAAGATGCTGTGTGTGTGTGCAAAGCAAGCCATAATGGAAAGGAGCCAGGCTGTCTGTATGAAGGGAAGAGGTGAAGCTGTTGTCCGTGCTGTCAGTCACCAGTCTATACATATACTTGACTAGAAACTTCTTTCATTTCACCAAACCCTAGTTTCCAAAAGAAAAGGAAAGAATTGTCACAGAACTTTTCACTGTTTACTGCCCTATGACGACAGACTATATACTGTGAATTGCTTAGTTAAGACATGGATTATGGGACTGGAGAGGTGGCTCAGCTGCCAAGAGTATTCGTTGCAGACTCCTGTGTTCCTGGCACCCGCATGGCAGCTCACAACCAACTGTAAAATCGTCTCGGGGATCTAATGCCCTCTTCTGGCATCCACAGGCACTGCATGCAAATGGTGCACAGGCAGTAAAAACAAACATATAATTGTGTAGTTATAATGATTGGATTGACACTGTTGTTTAAAAATAGTAAATTCATTGATTTATAACTCAAAGGAGATTTACTTTCAGGATTTTCTCCAGAGATTCTTTTCTTAAAATACGTTTCAAGCCAACAGAGTTGGGGGATAGTCAACTCTAAAACATAGCTGTAATTTTAATTTTTATCATATTATTCTATGTGAATCACTATCAAAATCACGAGGTTCCACGCTTTCCTTGGTGTGTTTTTAGAATGGAATACATTTTTCTCAGTTTATTTTATGGAGTCCCTGGCCCTCAGACATTGTTCTTATTAGCTCTGTTGGTTCAGCCAAGTTAGTTAACAGTCCTCAGAGTCAGCAAGTTTCTTCTGAGAATCTGGAAATGTTGGGCCTTCCGTGTACAGCTTCTCTTTGTCAGTGTTCTGAGCATGGAACTTAAGGGTCAACCAGACCAGTATTCACAGTCTGACCTTAGGGTGCCCACAGTGTTCCTCTTGGCTGGTCAGGGTCTGTGACCACACTGGTTGTGGCCCTAGGAGGAAATGTCGCCACCACTTCCAGACACATGGGCAGGTACACTTCCTTCATATAAAAAGTCACAGATTGATGTTGAGAATGGAACCTGGGCAGTGACTCCATGAGGTGTTCATGTTAAAACATACGGCTGTCAGTGTGTCCTGGGGCCTCGTTCACACTAACACATGTGATCCACAGATCACATGACTACTGCACAGGAGTCAGACAGCCTGATGACTGGCAAACCTGAAATGGCATTTTTTTTTTCTTCCACTACTTGGAGAACCGTGCACCGCCCTCCTGCATCAATCAGGTTTCTGTGAGCGCACTGATGCTGTCCCCAGGTGCTGCCACAGCTTGTGTTTTCACTCAAAGGGGCATTTTCCTCTTAAAACAAATTTATTTATTGCAGTTAATAAGCTACATAGCATCACCCTATTGGAGAGGAGAATCCAAAGCTTTGAGTCCAAAAAAATATGATTTTTGTACCATGTACATGTATGGTTGCCTGTCAGTAAAATGGAAATAATAAATTTCATCTTGGGTACCACTAAGGTAGAATGCAGGGCCCTTTACTTGTTATCTTGGTTCAAAATTATCATGTTTATTAATTAATAGACAGGTTAGTTCCTCCAACAGGAAGTTCATGAAGGCTTTAGTAAATCATAATGGTCTCTACTCGCCTCTGACTTTGAGGAAAGGAAAAGAACAAGTTATATTTGTAAGTTTGTTTTGACTCGTCTCTGCCCCTGACTCTGTTACCTGAGGTGATGGAGAAGGTACATATCCCTCGTAAGGGCCAGCTCCCCACAGTGACCTGCCACACTGGCTCCAGATGACTGACGCTCCCTATTCATGCTTCTCCTGCCAGGTCGGAGGCCACACGATGCTGCCTATCCGCTGGATGCCTCCAGAGAGCATCATGTACAGGAAATTTACCACAGAGAGCGACGTCTGGAGCCTGGGCGTCGTGTTGTGGGAGATCTTTACCTACGGCAAGCAGCCCTGGTATCAGCTATCAAACAACGAGGTGTGTAGTGGTTTGGGAGGGACCCCTGAACACACAAGCACATTCACACACACATTCACACACACACATATACACGCACATGCACACACACACATACACACCACCGCCACAACCGCCAGAGCGGGAATCTAAGATGCAGCCTTGGTCTGGAGGCTCCTGAGCTGGCAACCAGCCCACAGTCATACATGGCTTTGCTCAAGGCAGCAGTTCTTCGCAGACTTGTTTTAATAATTTTGGAGAGAGGTTTGCGGACCCAACCTTGCTCCCTCTCACGGCAGGGTGGAGGAGTAATTTCACACCTGCTCATCTAACAGACTAAGAGCAGCCTCCGCAATCCGTGCCCCTGAGTCTGGCGAGCATTTCTGCACTGTTCCAGAGAAGTTCTAAAGCCCTTTCCTTCTTCAGATTTTACTAGAAGTTAACACCTAGTCTAGTGAAAAGCTCAAGCTTGGTTTACCTTTTCCAACTCCTTGGCAAACTATAGTTACCTGTTGGAATCCATGGGGATTGGTTCCAAGACCCTGCCCTCACCCGGCCCCAGACCAAAATTTAGAACACTCCAAGTCCTTCCTGCAGATAGGATAATGTAGCATGCGCAAGAGCTCGCCTGGTCTCCTCTGCCAGCTCATTTACAGTAATAGTACATGCAGACACAGTGCTAATAGCTATATGTTCGGAGAATAATGACAAGAAAAAAAATGCACATGCTCAGTACAGATGTTATTTTTTCCCCCATGTATTTTCAATCTGCTGTTGTCTGGGTGCACATCTGGAGCCCACGGGACAGCAGCCAGCACATGTCTGTATTTGAAGCACAGCATCTCGCTCAGCCATCTCCTGTCCCTCTCAGATCCACGCCTGTCCTTTAATTCAGCTCTGATATGCAGTGATCCTAATCACATCTGCTGCCAGGGGTTCCCTGTCAGTCAACACCTTAGGCAAAAGCAGTCTGAGTTCTCTCTCCAGCCTGTAAAACCTGGAGCACGCGGGGCTTTCTTGGTGCTCTTCAGACCAGCCTCTGTGAATAAATAGATCAGGCCTTTGCCGGCTTTGTAAAACCACAATGGCTCTCCCCTTGTGAGAAAGCAGTAAAAGGGTTTCCTTTGGGGCTGAGGGAAAGGACCACGAGTTCAAGGTCAGCCTGAGCTGCATAGCAAGACCATACCTAAAGCAAAAACCTATCTCTCTCACTGGAAATCCACAAGGGAAGGTTTGCTGAAAGGGTGGAGAGGGAAGCTGCAGGCCAGCCCCAGCATGCAGGCACACAGGGGCAGATGATTCTAGAACCCTGCAGCACTGCACTGTGACTGTAGGCGGTACGTTTATTATATCTTCAATGAAGAACTACAAAAGAAACATTTTAAAAGAGCAAACATCAGCTGGTAGCCGATTGGCAGCTCCTCCCTAGGGGCTGGTATAGCAGCAGAGTGGAAGGACGTGCGGTCCCATATAATGGGGCCCCAGGACTCTGTGAAAAGTTAGGAGGGAGGAGGTAGAAGGCTGCCAGCACAAAGGCATGGTGAATAGCTCAGGAGATACACGTACTGATTGTCCTGATGTAGTCAGTACACCTTGTATATGTATAAACACGTCTGCCTCAAATTAGCATGCTGGCCCCCAGAAATAAACATAATAGCTTGACTTGACTTCTTAAAAAGTTAAAGAAAGGAGAGGCCCTTTCTTGCTCCTCCTGCACTGACATCCCACTCCCATGGCTCTTCTGCTAACCCTGCCCCTGCTCTCCCTGCAGGTCATAGAATGCATCACCCAGGGCCGAGTCCTGCAGCGGCCTCGCACGTGCCCACAGGAGGTGTATGAGCTGATGCTGGGATGCTGGCAGAGGGAACCACACATGAGGAAGAGCATCAAGGGCATCCACACCCTCCTCCAGAACTTGGCCAAGGCATCGCCTCTCTACCTGGATATCCTAGGCTAGGGCCCTTCTCCCCAGATCCGCCCTTCCCGATGCACTCCTCAGACTGGCCAACACGACGAACCTCTTACCTGCCGCTGGGTGTCATGACCTTGCTGTCCTTCGTTGTTCTGACAGTATTAACAAGACAGGGAGCGGCTTTCGGAGGGAAGCAGTGTGCACTTCTCCATCCACAGACAGTGTTAACTCGCTTTTGGCATTGTCTCTTTCTCTCTCCCGCATCTCCTTTGGTTTCTTTCTTTCTTTTGCCCTTTCACCTTTTACTTTGGGTCTTCCCTGCTTCGTGATCCTCAGCCTCTCTCCTTGAACAATCTGGCTTCTGTATTCCTATTGACTGTACATAGACAAAGGCCTTAAACAAAACCCTAATTTGTTATATCAGCTGACACTCCAGTTTGCCCACCACAACTAGCAATGCCTTGTTGTACTCCTGCCTTCGATGTGGATGACAAAAGGGAAACCAAACATCTGACTTAAAGCGCCACTTCCAATGTACAGACACGGGCATTTCTATGGATTCACTCCTGTTTATTTATTTAACTATTTATTTATCTATTTATTTATTTATTTATTTATCTTCTTGTTTTCTGATGGCTTTAGCCTGTGTGTAAAGGGAAAGTTGTATACAATCTAGGAAGATGTTATCTGTGGGAGATGAGATCCAGAGAGAGAGAGAGAGAGAAGTGTGACTATAAACTACAGAAGGACCAGAACAGAGACAGCCAACGGGATCACCTGGGATCAGCCCCTGCTGAGGAAGATCCCGCAACCGTGAGCTGGGAGGAGCATGTTCGGCACCGTCCCCTGAGGACCTTCCTGAGGAGGAAAGAGGGTGTTGAACTCTGCACCGTGGACAGAGTTTCCAGGCACAGATACTGGCCTGCAATGGAAAGTGAAGATGGCCTCCGTGGGACCCAGACAGCACATCGCGCATTCCGCCAGCGCATTGTGGTCGAGCATGGTGACAGAGTTGAAGCGTTCCTCAAGGGTTACCTACCAAACTTTGTCAAGTTCAGTTGAAAAGAGGGAGATTTTTGCTCAGATATTATTTCTGGGTCAGATGGGGAAATCTGAGTCCTTGAAAATGACAGGAAGCACTCTCAATTCTGAGGCACGTTTCTCTTACCTTGAACTTTTCAGACAATTCCCTCCAGCCCCAATTCTCCACTCTCACCTGTCTTTTAACTGTGCAAAAAAAAAAAAAAAAGTGCATGGTCTTTGTCAGTCAACACCTGTGTGCAGAAAGGACCATTCCAGTCGTGGGGCCCCATGGGTAGGGCAGAGCCATAGAAGGTCTGACGTATGCAACTTAGGGATGGGGCAGGACCAGCAGCTGAAAGCATGCTGCTGCGGTTAGTGGTGATGGGTTTGCCGTAGGGATGCTGATGCCTGGGTGTCTCCATCCGCCTCAGCCCCACAGCAGCGTGGGATGGGACAGACGGATCCGTCCCTGAGGGGAAGAAAAGCTCCCTTGGGGACAGCACCCTAGTTCACGTTTAGTGTCCGGGCCAAGTCTCTTGCTCTGGGCTCTGTTTGGGAGAGCGGTTCACTTCTACGTACTCATTGTCAGTGTGCTGTTTTGTTATCTATACTCCATTAAAAAGTTTTTTAAAAAAGGAAGGAGAAGGAGAAGGGGAAGAAGAAGGAGAAGGAGAAGAAGGAAAGAAAAAAACTGAAAAATCTGTGCAGTATGACTGATGGGAGGCTGTGCCCAGACTGAGCTTGGAAATACGCTTCTGAGTATGATTATGGGTTTTACTAAGAGAAAGTGTAAATTTAAGTAGAAATTTACAGTTATTAGGACAGTCAGTTAGACCGAGGGAGAACAGCATTTCCGCTTCTCTGTCCCCCTCTGTGAGGGGAAGTTTGATAAACTTGACATCTTTGTTACATGAGCCAGATTGGAAGCGGGTGATTGAATTCACAGTAGCACACTTCTTTGGAGTTTATTTCTGAAGGTGCCAGAGCTCTGGGTAGGTTTCATTTGTGCCCACTAATTTCTGGAGCACTGTGTTTTCTAGTATAGACTTTGAAAGCAGGTTCTCAAAATAAATAAATAAAAATAATAAAATAAAATAAAAACCTCAGTGTAAATGAACAGAGACCAGAAAGAGATCCAGTGGACCCGCTCAAGGGAGGGGTCACATAAAGCAGACGCTATCTGGGGTCCTTTCTGTGGCACTGGCCCGTGAGAGATGGGAGCCATTTGTCCTCTTCGTCCATGAGAAACCCCTCCAGGATACCTATCCTAATATATCGAAAGCCATATATCTGTGATATATACAGGCAGGTATATATCCTATAAAGGACCCACGGTACTGTCACAACACTGTGGAGCTGTGGCGCTGCAAAGCTAGGACAGATGGATGTATCCACGCTGTTCTAGATTCCTAGGACAGATGAGTGTATCCACGCTGTTCTAGATTCCTAGGACAGATGGATGTATCCACGCTGTTCTAGATTCCTAGGACAGATGGGTGTATCCACACTGTTCTAGATTTCTAGGACAGATGGTGTATCCGCGCTGTTCTAGATTCCTAGGACAGATGGGTGTGTCCACGCTGTTCTAGATTCCTAGTACAGATGGGTGTATCCACACTGTTCTAGATTCCTAGGACAGATGGTGTATCTGCGCTGTTCTAGATTCCTAGGACAGATGGTGTATCCACACTGTTCTAGATTCCTAGGACAGATGGGTGTATCCATGCTGTTCTAGATTCCTAGGACAGATGGGTGTATACACGCTGTTCTAGATTCCTTGGACAGATGGTGTATCCACACTGTTCTAGATTCCATCAGCGATGACTGGAGAACTTGCACAGGTCTATCGCTGCGAGTCAGACCAGTTGCCCTGGGAGAAAAAGCTGCAAGTTGCTCAGCAGACAGCCGAGGAGATGGTCCTGGGAAGAGCCAATGTTAGGGAAGCCTTGCAGGTTTTCATCAAAGGTCTGCAGCGAGTTCAGTGTTTTCCTTAGCAGGAAAAAAAAAGCAAAAGAGAGAAAGACAGAGAGGAGAAAGAGAAAGAGATTCCTTATACTGCTTTGACAAGTCCCTGAAGGTCTTAAAATGAAAATGTCTATGCAAGCGCAAAATTTTATAGTTATTTATACTGATTATTATTATTAATAATTATTATTATTAGTCCTTCTGTTGACATGTGCCAATGTCAGAGCATTGCAGAACATCTGCTGGCTTTTTAAGTAGTTGGATGAGCCGAGGACATAACATCTTAAAATAGTTATCATTATTCATCGACTACTCTCTTTCTTGTGGTATTTTAATTTTTAGAAAAGAAACATTCTTGCTCTAAAACATATCCCTCTCCAAACAGGACAAGCATGGTGGTAGCGACCCAAATTCTCCATCCCGAACCCCATCATCCACTTCATTTCCAAACCCTTGATGGTTTCTGAGCACTTTTTGCATGTGTTGGCAAATTATTCATATTTTTCACGAGGGAATTGAGACTCAGAAGCTCAGAGACCATGAGCTTCACCCAAGTCTGCCCCTGGACATGCTAACACACACACACACACACACACACACACACACACACACACACACAAGGCATTCAGGAAAGGAGGCGTGCTAGCATGTCTGTGAAGCAGGAGGAGGTTAGGACAGACGGGAACACACACAGTCCAAGCAGAGGGGATTTTCTCTCATGTGCTTCTGCTCCTGGCGTCTTCTGACTCCCGTGCACTAAAATGATGTCACAATAAACCTCATCAAGAAAATGCTTCGAACACTGCTCTCGAGGGTTCTATCCGAATTCATGCACACACACTCACATCAGCTCCATTTGTAGTGTTTTCGTGTACTGATATATATATATATATATAATATGTTATAAACACTTGATTTATACATATACAAATGCACATCTGTAGTGTGTTTGTGTGTTTATGTATAAACATATAGGCACATGGTAATAGAATAATTAATTGTAAGTAGGGTGCAATATGAATAATTTGCTTAAAATTTGCTAAATAACCAAAACTATCAAATGTCGTGTGGCAGTTCGTGTTTCCATTCTCCGTGTAGGTAAGGACCACACCAGCTTTCAACTCCGGGCAGTCCTTGGATGGAAGATTTGTTGAAGTCACAATTCCCTGAGACAACAGACTGAAAAGCCATCCTCTACGTTCAGCATGCTCTCCGGCTCTCTGCAGACAAATGGTCTCCTTAGGTACAGCTCCAAGGGAGGAGAGCTGTGCTGTGCTGACCCTTCTCGCTCTGATCCCCTTCTAGATGCAGACTGTTGGGAGACCAGTGTCTTGAAGGCCGATGATAAAACACCCAAGAACCCACAGCAAGATGGGCAGCTTGTAGTCACCCCTTACCCACATGGGGAGAAAGAGCCATGGTGCGGACAGCGGGATCCCTGGTCAAGGGCTGTCGTGAGCCTCTCCTTTTGCAAATGGGACTGCCAGCGACACCTGGCATTGTCATGTCTAATTTCTAGAACTGTCAGCACAGACACAGGCACCCTCATCGCTCCTTCTCCCCTCTTAGAGGACGTCTACTTCCCAACTTGACCTTTGGTTTGGCCCTGTTAAAGGAAACCTCATGAGGGAATGGCTAACGAATGTCCCAAGTCCCCAGATTTCCAACTTTGCAGTTTAAGCCGATTCTTCACAACGTGTAACAGGAATGTAGAGACTCAAGTTGTGATAGCTCGGACATGAATTTCAAGTGCTACTGTGAAGAACCAGGTGGGAGGGGCTCCCAGGTGAAAGAGTAGTGCAGAAGGGCATAGTTTATGCTGTCTGTCTGGGCTCCATCTCTGCTGCTCCAGTCAAAGGTTCTTGACTATTCTTCGCTGTGGCACCTTCCCTTCTTTAGACCCTTCAACTTCATTTATTTATGTTCTATTTATTTATAAACTTTCGATCCATCCATCACCAACATGAAGCAAAAAAAAATGACATACATGTAAATGTGTTGCAAGCGAAACACTGTGAATCTCACAACCACCTCCAAGCAACTATGCTGCCATCCTGATGTGCGTCTCGGGAGACGAGATGGGAAAAAGACGGTGACGTCATTTTTGCAGCCTATGCGTTCTGGGCCAGGTCCACGTTTTTTATTTTATTTTTTTATTCTGTGAGTTAAGAAAAACGATCCTGAGTGGAGGTTGACTGAACGTCCAACGAGCTAGCCAAAGTATCATGAGCTGCTTGTGGCTGTATGTTTGAGCAGGAAGGAAAACCATGGGCAATGGAGAAATGAAACTTGATGGAGAGGTCTCTATCTTACAGCTCGTATAGCTTACTGTTGCTTAAAATGTATACAACAGCTGGAAATATTTTCAATACAAGGTATTTGAATTAAATGTGAATTTTAAATATGTACTCTCTTAAGGAATGAACATATTGTGGCGAAATATCTCTCTCCCCACGTTCCTGACCAACCTGCCTAAAGACGGGGATGCCTACACTGGCTTCGGCCCCGGACAGATGTTTGTACATACCCAGGCCACACACACTCATCTCAACATCTCTGCACATGTGCTACCCCTCCAACAGAGACCTGGTGTTTAGAACTCTATCTTTCAGTTAGTTTATTTCCCTTTAATGTGACGTCTCTGTGCCGACTTTTACCGGCTCTCACTTGTTTTTTTGCAATCTGTTTTGAGGTCCAGTGCTTTTCTGAGACTCACTGCATCTTGGCTGATTTCAAAGTGACACCTGAATACAGTGTTTAAAAAAAAAATGTTTGTAAATCATGTGACCAGCTTCTCTCAACCTGACATGGAATGTCTCTTGTACTACAGTGTATTTAATAAAAAAAAACACAAATGACGTCTTACAATAAACAACACACTCCATGGGAGGCTACACATGGCGATGGTGTACTTTCTAAAGATGAGCAGGGCGTCTACGAAGCACAGCACAGCAGTTTTAAATGCAGGCATCTTCAGAGATGCCACGGAGTTCACTGCCTGAAGGCAGTGAGAACAAGTGGTCTCTGACCTCACCGTTGAACTTTTAAGTCACACTGTTTACACCCAGAATGCTGTTGCCCGTTCCTTCACACCGTGACATTTCTGTCTCCACCAACCAGTGTGGTATCCTGAAGCCACCTGTGGCTAGCAGGTCTTTGACTGTAGAACAGAGTATGAAATCGTGTTTAATTTCAGTTAATGTACATTTAAACTGCCACAGCAGGCTAGTGGTGACTATTCCAGCTGGGCAGGAGTGAGAAGAGAAACCTGTGGTGTCTAAAAGCGCAGGTGCAAACAATGTCCTGAGTGGGTTGCAGTGGTCTAGAGTTGGGTTTCCCTGGGAAACTGGGCAAAGCAGAGGTGGAGGTGTTCCCTGGAGCTTCACAGTAGCTTCTCCCAGTGTCTGGCCTCTTCCCCCTGAGGCTCTGGAAGGCTGAGAAGCATCCAAACAGCTCCCCTGGTATAGGCTCCAGAAACATGCAGTTTGGCTGTGTCTACCCGAAAGCAAACACCCTTAACCATTGTCTCTTACACACTTCCCCCCAGTGGTGAGGATGTATATTTTCTTAGGGTAACAAATTATGGCAACTGAGCAGAGACTAGAAAGTTCAGAGTTGCATAAGGTCCAAAATTTCGAACATGATTATATATCACACTCAATTAAGGAATAAAAAAATGTAACCACCGGAACCTCGATCAGCCTCAACTTAATCTAGAAATCCTAACTATGCCACGCCACATTTCCTATTTCTATCATTGCTACAATTACAGTGATAACCACGGAAACTTGAAAACCGAAGTCGTGTTCTAGAACCTTCCCTAGTTTCTCTGTATGTCCCATGCAGCCTTCCTTCTCCCAAATACCTTTTCATTCACCCTTAGGATGCTTAGCTTCTATGATGTGGACATTATTGCTGAATACTGTCACTACTTAACAGGAAGACAGGCACACTGACTCTGTGAGTTCAAGGCCAGCCTGGTCTATAGAGCTAGTTCCAGGACAGGCTTCAGAGAAACCCTGAAAAAGCTACAGAGAAACCCTGTCTTGAAAAAAAAAAAAGAAGTTACATATTTGAAAGGATGCTCTTCATGTACAGGGTGCTAGGTGTATGCTTTAGTTCCTCTTGGCTACAGTAACAAATTACAGCAAATAAGCTATTTGAGATAACACAGGTTTATTTATGCAGAATGTTAGAGGTCAGAAGTCTGTCGGTGAGAAGGCTGGCATGTACTCCTTGCAAAGGTTCATGGGAGAACCTGCTTCTCACCATTGTGGACTTTGGTGGCTTCTGGTGTTTGCTGAACACCTCACACCAATTTCTGCCTCCCTATATCTTCTTTTCATGTGTCTTCTTTGCTGGGTTATGATTTCATAACCGACTTTATTGACTTTCTTTCATTTTCAAAGGGACTGCATTCGGAGCTTGCCCAGACACTGTGGAAATGTCACCAGGCTTCCTGTCCCTGTGACAAAATATCTGAGATAAGCCACATGCAAAGAAAAGTTGGTTGTGCCTCACGGTCTCGGTCCACGGTCGCAGAGCTCTGGTGCTTTCATCTGGTGGTGGCTGGAGAACATGGCAAAAGAGTTCTGTTTGTTTCAGGGTAGCCAAATAGGAGAGAGGCAGAGAAAGGGAGACAGAGGCAGAGGAAGGGAAGGGAGAGGAGAAGGAGGAGGATGAGGAAACAGTCACTCAGGTCTTAATATCCCCTTCCAGGGCACACCTCCAGTGAATCTAACTTCCTTAACCTGACCCCACCTCCGAAAAGTTACACTACCCCAATAGCATCATGGGCAGGAAACCAAGTCTTCAACACACAGCATTTAACCTCCAACTCATACAATGCTCTATCAACCCTAGGAGCTAAGGCATCAGCCTACAGACACAGGATCTCCAGCATGAAGAATTTAAAACTGGCCAGGAGGATAAACTATGAGAAGCTGACGCATGAAGTTTGTGTTGACTGCCCCAGGAAGATTCATACACTAATTCCTCGCATTCTCACGGCTCCAGACAATAGGCAGAAACGCTGCATCCGACTGGGAGAAGGAAGCCTTTGGCTAGAGTTAGAGCCAGCAATGTTAACTCAGAGCTCAGGATACAGACTCCTGGGCCCTCAAAGACTGAGAGAAATAGTTTAATGGCCTGTGCCAGTAGGGGTGGGCCTATGGGCAGACAGATGAAGCCAAGAGTCCTGGTTCCAGGAGAACAGAGAGTTTCCGGGAAGCTGTGCTCCATGGCATTGAGTCTGTAGCTGTTCACCCACCCGTCTGGTGGAGGATGAGTCCATAGAGGGAATTATCTAGCAATGAAGTTCTGAAGCGAGAGGTGGGGTGGGGTTAGAATTGGGATTTAGGGATGGCTTTTGTTGTACTATCTCTAGTTGGTCATTTCTCATGGTTAGAACTGTGGGCAGCCCATGGCTATCTTTCCCTTCCTGCTATCTACAGGTAGAGTTTCAGAGTGAAAACACAGCTCATAGAAAATTCCTTCAAACTAGCATGATTTACTTACTATCCAGATTGTGCCCCCTATGTAGACCAGGAGCTTTCTTTCTCTCCTGGGCCTTATGTAGAATGCAAAATCAAAACAGATGTGAGGGTGGGCTTCTGCCAGGACCAGCCCTGACGCTACTCAGTTCAGACGTGGACAAAGACCTCTAGAGGACAAAGGGAGCCTTCATCCCCGGGGACTCCACTCTGGGCTTTAGAGAGTTGGCCTTGAGGGAGTCTTCACCACTGGGGGCTCCACTCTGGGCATTAGAGTTTGGTTTGATCCATTCTTCTGCCTCACCATGTAAAAATAATGATGTTCATATAACGATTTCATTTCTGATCTTTAAAGCCAGCCACAACTCCAAAACAAGGGAAAAACAATCTAATGTCCCTAATTAACAAACTAATTAACAAACTTCCTCATATTGACTTTTTTCGAAATTAAACACCACTTAGTCACTACCTTCATTTCTTTTTCTGAACAATCTTTTTTGAATTTTACATACAAATCCAAGCTTACCCTTCCTCCCTTCCTCCCACTTCCCCCACTTTCTCCCCACCCCAGCACCCATCCACTCCTCATAGAGGATGAAGTCCCCCATTGGGGAGGTCAACAAAGTCTGTCACACCATGTTGAGGCAGAAGCAAGGCCCTCCCCCTGATCCTCAGGTGTAGAGATGGCACTACCTACCCACCACGGTGCTCCCCAAGCCTCAGGTATAGTGATGGCACTATAGACTTACCAGTTCGGGTTTGGCACACAGAAGCCTATGTGTTCCCCCAAATTGTTCTTGTCTGTTCTCAGAGCAGCACACATGTTGTGTGTATGGCAGGCGTTTATCCTTATTTGCCTAATAATAGTATATGTCTAAATCATCACTTTGCCCTGGCTGTTTTCTGTATCTAGAATACAAGCTACATGCAGGCAGACACTTTGATGACCTTCTGACCCATAATTTCCAATCAACATTTTCACATTAGTGGCTGGGTGGGTGAAGCCCAAGCTCGAAGCACAAGCCCAGCAAAGTAGGAGATGTTCAGGGAGGGCGGAGGCATTCTTATGTACAGAAACAACACAGGCCTAGCAGAGTCAGCCCACTGAGTCTTAGATTCCTCATTTAGCAGCTATGTCAGACGCTGGCTTCCATTTCAGAGTCAGGGGTGCTAAGCTACACCTTGAAACCATAAACTACAAGGCCATCAATGACTTCAAATGCCCTCACGTCAACAGAGTCCTTTTCCTTTCTGGTTCAGTTTGGAGACCCCAGGGAATCCAGGCACAAATTTATGAATGGCAATGGTTAAGTTTTATTTTTAAATAAATTGAGATACAATAATTGTTTCCCTTTTAAAAGAACTTACTATCCCCAGATATGCACAATTAAACATTCCTTACAGCCCCTCCTTCATAATAAATGGAAACATTCGTTCCAAATGCAAATAGTTCTGTGGCCTCTTCAAGATGATGCCTTGGAGAGGGGCTTTCCTAGAATCGAGTTTTAGAAAGTGTGTTGTAAAGTTATTTAATGCTCCCTTGGTTTGGGGACTTTAGAAAGTGTTTTTGTAAAGTTATTTAACGCTCCCTTGGTCTGGGGACCTTACTGTTTTATGAGACAATAGTGGACTTTCTGACTCTGGTTTGGCGACACTTTAGATGCAAGGGCCAGGTAGAGGCTGAATGTGGACCAGAGGAGTCTTTGGGTTCTGTGACAGCAATGCAGTTGTGTAAGATTGCACCATGGGAGGGGACAATGCCCTGCACATCCTTGCAGTGGGACAGGGCTCCAAGTCAGGGAAATTTATGTGAGTAACTCTCCCCTCCACCTCCCAATTCTTTTGCATTTTGCAGCGTCTTTAGCAAGGACTTCCTGATGCTGAAGCAACAGCTGCCTCCTCCAACTCTTGCCCATGGTCTCAGACCTCCTGGGAGTGCACAGAATAACTCTTGTTCATCATTACTTGGCACTTCTTTATGGCTCCCTTGTACTCTCCCCTCCACATCCAGCCCTCCACTGAAAACTCCGGAAAGCCTGCCAAATACCCAGAAGAAAGGAGAAAAAAAAAAAAAAAACCCAAGTCCTGTGTCTCTATGAGAGAAGTCAACGCACAACCCCCAGCTCCCAGGTTTCTCTTCGGCCACAAAGCTCATTTTCTTCACCTGTTCTCCAGGCTTTGCTCGTTTTTAACCCAAAGAGAAAGTAACTTTTCAAAGGTCAACACTGTGTCCACACAACAAATCGTTTTGTGCAGCCGTTTTATGCCACCCGCACCCCAGGTCTCTCTGAAAACTTTCCTTTTGTACTCTGACAACTAAGTAAACTAAGGAAGCCTTGGCATTCCATGGGTTAGCTGGCCTCACCGTCTAAAGGAGACTGGCAGGAGGAGAAGCCTTGCTTATTTGCCTGCTCAGCCTAGGGTGGAGGTGGGGAATTTGCTAACCTAAAGATAGCTTTAATTTTATTTGTTTTTCCTAAGGAACATCTGCTTGCACGATGATTAGACAGTGGGCTCATTATCACAGGAAACAAAGTATCTGAGGCTTGTGTCACTGGGAGTGTTCAAGAACAAAATAAGACAGACACTCGTGGGAGTGATTGGAGAGCATCCTTCACAGCACGTAAAGGTTTAACCTCGGAGAGTGTGGAGTATTTAGAGGAGGGAGGCATGGAGCCTGTCGTTCTGTAAGGGAATAAGAGCCATTTTTCCCCCTGGATGAACGGTGAGGGACATCGACCATGTGTCTGGGCCATGTGAACGAATACCTAATGAGGGGAGGGGCTGGCAGCAGCAGTGCCTCAAAAAAAAAAAAAAAACGCTTGCTGAATAAATGAATAAATTTCTCAGGCACACAGCGAGAAGAATGCAGGACATTCTGTGCACACTCCACATTCCCCTGAAGCATGTTTCCACGGATTGTGGCATCTTCCTTCTGAGTGTTCCCAGGAGGACTCCAGGCTGCCCATCCCCCTCTACCCCTTCTGGCATATAAAGTCTTAACTCTACAGTACAGACCTGGGGCCAGAGATACGCTTCCCAATTCTTGATGAATTTCCAGAACATGGAAACATGTGGCAATGGGAAAGGCCTAAGATCCTCAGTTTTCCTGTGTAACATTGG